GGCGAACCGCTTAACACATCACCACAATCTGGGCGCGAACGGGCCCGTGGAATACCACCTGGCGGCTCCACATTGGGGTGGTGAGGCCAACGACTCGCTCGAGACCTCCGTAAAGTCGGTTTGAGTGAACGAGCCGGAATACGAGTGCATCTGCCGAAGAACATCATGTGACTGAGTCTGAGTGGGGAAGGGTGAGTCTGAGTATGATTGAGATTGAACATGAATGAATCGCGGAGTGAGTGAGTTTTAGCGTAAGTAAGACTGGAAGTGGGTGATTCTGACTTTGGGTAGAATGGTTATGGATATGAGTGATCAACCCCTCGCCTGAGACATCCGCACAATCTACTCTGCCAGCAGGAGAATCGGGGAATCAACCAGCAAAACCACCTGAGACATCACCAACATCTTGGCGCAAATGGGCCCGTGGGATACCCCTTCGCGGCTCCCCGTTGCATGTGCTGGAACCAGCACCCTGCCTAAGATATTCTCACAACCTGCTCCGACACCACAGGATTTTGTGTATACAGCCGGGCAGACCGCTTGAGACATCCCCAGAATCTTGGCGCGAAGGGGCCCGCGCGATACCCCCAGGCGGCTCAACTTGCGAGTGCCGAAACCAGCGCCTTGCCCGAGACATACCAAAATCTGCTCCGAAAGCAACAAATGTTTGGGCATGCAAGCAGGCAAACCGCCTGAGGCATCACCAAGCTCTGGGCGCGATGGGGGCTCGTACAATATCCCCTGGCGGCTCCCCCTTGAAGCGGTGAAGTCAAAGCCTCGCTCGAGACATCCGCAAAGTCTGTGAGCGCGAGTGAGTATGTGCACGAGTGGAACTAAGTGAGGGCGTCATGTGGTTGTGTATCAGTGTGGAGGAGTGCGCCTGGGCATGGTTGGGTCTGAGTGTGGCTGGGTCTGGGCGTGCGTGACTTTGAATACTCGTGAGAGTGAGTACGCGTGGGTCTGAGGATGAATGGGTATGGGTATGAATGTGTGTGAGCTGACCTGGGCGGGTCTGAATGAATGAGCGAGTCTGAGTGTGAGCGGCTCTGAGGGTGAGTGAGTCTGGATGAAGGGAAAGGGGAAGGAGGGAAGAACGGAAGGAGGGAGTAGGACCTTCTGGGTAATGAGCAAAGGCCCCATCTCGCGATTCCTAAGGGAAATCATGATTCAACTGAATATGTATGTCATTCCTGCTCCTCCGCGTCTGACCTCACCTCATCCACTGCAATGCATCCCCCCGCCTTATTCCCTGAGCCCCTCCTCCCCCTCCTCCTCCTCCTCCTCCTCCTCCTCCTGCTCCTCCTCCTCCTCCTCCTCCTCCTCATCCCAATGCTCCTTATGCCCCTCAACACCCCCTCCTGGTCCGTCTGGGCTCCCCCGCCCCCCCCCCCCCGTGATTACCCTTCCCCACTCTCCTCCTCCTCCTCCTTCTTCTCCTTCTCCTGATACTCCTCCTCCTCCTCATCCTCCTCCTGCATCCTCCTCCTCCTCCTCCTCCTCTTCCTCCTCCTCCAGCCTCCTCCTCATCCTCATCCTCATCATGTCTCCTTCTTCCTCCTCCTCCTCGTCCTCCTCCTCCTCCTCCTCCCCGAGCGCACTGGACGCCATCCAGCAGGAACGTACGGAGTTTATGTTCACTGAGTCTGAGTATGTGGACGCCCAAAGGGACAATGGAGGAGGCGAGTGCTACAAGTCAGTGATACAAGGGGCAAGAGGTAGATGCATCACCACCGTGCTGGACCTACTCGCCCCATCGGGTGACCCAGCAGTGCAGTACCCCATGAAGTGCATCGGCGCGTGGCTGGCGAACTGGCAAGCTCACCCTGAAGTGTGAACTGGCTGGCGGGCAAACTAGCAGGCTGAAGTGTGGTCCTGCGCGGCCTTACACTGCACTGCGGGGGGGGGGGGGGGGGGCAGTTCCCATATGCTATACACACAGGAAGCACGTGGCTGGTCAAGCACAGTGATGCGTTGCAAGACATCATCGCGTCAGCGGGGTTGGTGGTGTGGAGGCAAGCTGCACAGCATTGCTGCGGAGGCGGGGTTGCAGATGGCGCCGATCATGAGTAATTCCGTTTGTTGTTGAAACAGGTTTCGTGACTATCACATGGGAATCAAGTGAGTGAGCTTCTTCTAACTATAGTTGCAGGAGGGTTTGGGTTGGGGCGGAGAAAGAAACACTGGACGGAAGGCTACACGGGGCTTGAGGAATGCGACTGATGCAAGGCCGAGAGTGACCCAGCGCTTCACAGATTTGGGAAGTGCAACATGACCGTGGACGCCCTGCCGTACCCCAACTCAGAGAACCTGGTGCCTGAAACACTCACCCAGGTCAACACAGCGGAGTGCTACTGGCCCAGGGGCCTCATCCCATCAAATTGAACTGCACTCCCTGGGCCACCCAAAGACGAGAGCTGTGAGTTCATGGACATGGGCGACCTTGTCCAGGGCGTCTTCGGGGAGGGGTCAGCCGAGGATCCGATCGAGATCTTTGGAGACGCCAACGGAGGCGAGGATTCGGAGCTGCCGAGGTTCTGCAGAATAGGATTAGGTCGGGCATGTTCCCCTACAGGCGGATTTCGGGACGAACAGCAAATACCCCAAAAATACTAAAACATGGATGCTTGAATATCCTTCCTGTAGAGGAACATGCCCGACTTAGAATATGAGTGGCCGTCGTGTCCATCCATCAGGTGGGTCTCACCGTCGAGCTCAACGGCGCGGTGTTCGGCTCGTTGCCTGGAGGCCGCCAGGTGGTGGCACGTGGAGTTGACGGCGTCGTCGTCGTCGTCGTCGTCGTCGTCGTTGTCATCGTCGTCGTCGTCGTCGTCTCCTCCCTCCTCCCTCCTCTCTCCTCCCTCCAAACTCCTCCTTGCAAGTTTGCGATTCTGTAGCACATGCGTGGTATCCCCAACGACATGCAGTCCCTGAAGGGGCGGACGCTGAAATCTGGAACCTGGCATGGCAGATCACGAAGAAGAGGTGCCACACGGAGATTGTGGTCCTATGGGACCACTCACACAACACGGCCACCGACGTGGCAGGCCGTCGTGCCATATGTCGACTGGTCCTGCGCAATCTTATTGCTGACGAGTTCGCTGGGCTCGCGGCTGCTAAGGCCAGACGCATCCCAATGGCAGACTGATCAAGGTGTTGCTGCACGAAAGAAAAACGTATTTGATCAGACTGCGCCTCCTGCGCGCCATGCTTGACAGGATCAAGGCCGCGACGGAAGTGGACCGGGCCGCGAAGGGCTCCTCCCCTCCCCCTCCGTCTGCTGCTGCCGTCGCCGCCCTGTTTTCTAGGCATGACTCAGCCGATTGTCAGAGGAGGTGCCGGCGGTACCATCTATCGGCCACCCTCGCAACGATGAAAGAATTCGTTCAGTCTGAGTGTCCGAGGTTGTATGAGATTCATGGGGAGATTTTCTCGCCCTCCAGGGGGGCTCGAATTCATATCGCGCGGGGTTGAACCACACTGCACACACTCTGAATGTTCATCCGATCCTTCAAGTCTGTTTATCCTCGGAGTGTGGGGGGGGAAATGTCCGCTAAGGCTTTGCGTTCCATCAGAAGTGGTTGCAATGGCAAGACGACCAGTACAGGTAAGGGATACCTTGACAGGATCAAACGGGTTTAGTATGGTTTAGTCCCTACGTTCCTGAGTCGAGCCGAGCAATCGACTCGACGCTCGAATGTCCCGAGGCCCAAGTCATCTGTGTAAGCTGGTGGGCAACCTGCATCCGCAACGGTGCCCACTCCATTCCACTCCAGTCCACTCCACTCTTCCTCCCTTCCCTTACCCCCCTTCTCACCTCCCGCTCCACCCCTCTCTCTCCTCCTGCTCATCCTCCCTCTCCTCCTCACCCTCTCTGCTGCTTCTACAATTACACAATATGAATACCACTCTCCTCTCTCCCCTGATGACGTCCGGAAGATATCCGGCCCCCATCCGCATACTGCTTGTTTACACACAGGATCCCCGATGACAGGGATTTCGCTTGATGTTTTTCAACATTTTGCGCTCGCTGAAACGCTGGCCTCATTTTCGGGCTTCCGCTAGTTCCGAATCTTTTTCCCGCTGCAGTGCTGGCCTCATTTCCGCGCTTCCGCTCGTTCCGAATCGTGTTCCCCCTGCAGCGCTGGACTTATTTCCGCGCTTCCGCTCGTTCCGAATCGTGCTCCCGCTGCAGCACTGGCGTCATTATTTCCAGCGCCTTGCCGCGGCATGGTTTCTGATCCTTCCACATAGGCCCCAAAATCTAGGAAATGCCCCCGAAAAAACATCGGAAGTAATTACACATTCGGTGCCGATTCGTTGAGTTTTGGGGCCGCAGAAATCCCCCCGCCATGCGATGTCATGCTACGCGTTGATATTCAACGCCATGCTATGCCATGCAATGTTACGCCATGCGAAGACATCCGACAGTGCGAATAGAGCGGAGATCTAGGCCATGGTAAGGGATGGGAGGGAGGGGTAGGACATCATATATGACGCGAACACACCTAGCTTGTCCTTTCCCCTCCCCTCCCCCGTTCCGATCAGAACGTCGAGGCGAATTCTGCCGTGGCGACGACGGCACTAAAGGCAAACATGCCTTGCTTATGCTGAAGGCACTCTTTTGCTAAAGCCCTCCGAAATCGGGTCACAGTAGATGGGGAAGCAGAATTGCGCCGCATCGCCAATACATCGGCGATGCATCGGCGACGCCAGCGTGGAGAACATCGGGCTCCACATCGAGCCGCATCGCCGCTGCATCGACGATACGGCGCGATCCTCCAACCTCATTTACTCGGACCCCATCTAGAGGCCTAGATTTAGGTCGGGCACGTCCTCCTATAGGCGGATCTTTGACGACAAATAGAACCAACAAAAATTCAAACATGGTCACAAATAGTAGGCAGATCGTCCCCAGACTATTTTTTCCTATTTTTGAATACGTACTCCTCCTGTAGAGGGACAGGCCCGACTTGCGCGCCCTCGCGGGGCCGCACGCCCGCCTCGCGCTCGTCGCGCAGCTCGTCGAACGCCAGCAGGGCCCTGCTTAGGTGCCTGTCCGCCAGCTCCGCCGGGCTCTCGCGCGACCTCTCGGCGGGCGCGGCGGTGCCCGCGCCCTCCTCGCTAGTCCCGCCGAGGAGGAGCCGGAGGAGGAGGAAGAGGAGGAGGAGGAGGAGAAGCCGGAGAGGGAGAATGAGGAGAAGCCAGAGGAGCCAGAGGAGCCAGAGGAGGAGGAGGACGACGACGAGGAGAAGGAGGAGGAGGAAGAGGAGGTGGAGGAGGAGCCGGTGGAGGAGGAGGAGGAGGAGGAGGAGGAGGAGGAGGAGGAGGAGAGAAGAAGCCAGAGAAGCCGGAGAACGACAGGAGGCCAGAGGAGCCGGAGGAGAGGGGAGGAGGAGGAGGAGGAGGAGGAGGAGGGAGGAGGGGGGAGGAGGAGGAGAGCGAGGAGGAAAAGGAGGAGGGAGGAAGAAGAGGAGGAGGTGGAGGAGGCGCCGGTGGAGGAGGAGAGGAGGAGGAGGAGGCGGAGGAGCAGGAGAAGGAGGGAGGAAGGCGGAGGAGGAGGACGAGGAGGAGGAGGAGGACGAGGAGGAGGAGGGGGAGGAGGAGGAGAGGAGGAGGAGGAGGAGGAGGAGGAGGAGGAGGAGGAGGAGGAGGAGAGGAGGTGGAAGAGTGAGGAGGAGGAGGGAGGAGGAGGAGGGGAGAAGGAGGAGGAGGGAGGGAAGAGGGGAGGAGAAGGAGGAGGAGGCGGAGGAGGAGAAGGAGGGAGAAGGAGGAGGGGGAGGAGGAGGAGGAAGAGCAGGAGGGAGGAGGAGGAGGAAACGAGGAGGGGAGGGGAGGAGGCGGAAGGAGGAGGAGGAGGAGGAGGAGGAGGAGGAGGAGGAGGAGGAGGACAAGGCGTCCGGGAAGCCGTCGCGGGCGCAGCCTGACGGCCATCCATGTGTCATTGCCTCTTCCCGTGCCCTGGTTGCTCCCACTTCTCCCCCTCATCGACGGTGTTCCCGTCGTCCCCCTCATCTCTGGCTCTTCCTCCTCGTTCGTGTGCTCCTCAGTCCGTCTCCTCGTTCCGCTCCTGCTTCTGTAGATACCGCCTCCTCTTCGCCTTCGGTGGCCCAGGATGTGTCGCAGAGCGACGCGCGAGGAAGCTATCACAGCCGAACTCCTTTTTGATCCACAGTGAGATCGCATCCTGCACAGCGACGCCACTGTGCCCACAACAGGAACGTGCATCACCACGCGCCCAAAAACCCAACGTCCGCACAGCGATGCGAGAGATCATTTCCAAGCCGAGGCCTTGCATGCCTACTCTTCTTCGTCCTCCTCGTCGTCATTGTCCCCGCCCCCACCGCCGCCGTTGGTCTTCTTCCACTCCGCCAGGGCCTTGTCATACGTGGCCTTCAACTCCGCGGCTTTCTCCTCGAAGGGCTTCTTCTTCGCCGCTGGCAGAGCTTTCCACCTCTCGCCCGCGAGCTTGCTGATTGCGGACCCCTTCACGTTCCCCGCCTCCTTCGTCAGCGCCGCCCGGTTCTCGGCGAGCCACATCCAGTAGGCGTTCTGCGGCCGCGACGGCTTCCCCGACGCCTTATCGGCCTCGTTCTTTGCTTTCCTGCTGCTCTTGGCCGCCTTCCCCTCCTTCGCCTCCTTCTTCTCCAGGCGCCGCTTGCCGACCTGGCCCCCGGCGGCCTTGAACTTCTCCATGGCCGCCTCGTACTCAGCCTTGCTCTTCGCCGCCTTGTCCTCGAACGGCTTCTTGGCCGCCGCCGACAGGGCCTTCCACCTCTCGCCCGCGAGCTTGCCGATGACTGGTGCCTTCCCGCTCCCCGCCTCCTTCGCCAGCGCCTCCCGGTTCTCGCTGAGCCAGATCCAGTAGGGGTTCTGCGGCTTCTTCGGTTCCTCGAGCTCTGCCGCCATGCCGGCCCGCTGCCCGAAGACTGGCTGCCGACGCGGCCTGGCCAGGCGGGCGGTTTATGGCGGGAGAGGCAAGCCTATATGCAGGCTCGAGGCAGAGCGGCCTGAGCCACAATGCAGGCCTGGCGTCACACTATCGCTTCGTCGGCGCGCCTCCGCCTGAGCTTGGGTGGCAGCTGACCTGAAAGCTCCGCCTGGATGCTGTCGGCCACAGGAAGCATGGACAAGCGGGTGAGCAGCCGCGTGCGAGTCCCTCTTCCAACGGCGCTGTGTCGAAAGGCCGCGCGCTGCAAGCGAGTCCCGACGCATGTGAAGTCCAGGTCCCCTGTCGGTCCTCGCCACGCCTCGCCAGCCCCCCCCCCTCCCCCCTCCACGCAGGTAAATTCCTTGAGTCTACGTAACGAAAAACAGCCTCGTGACCCATTGTAAAGCTTCGCCCTACGCGGGCCGCCACTGCGGCACACCGCGCAGAGAAGAGCGCCTGCGCACGACCTCACGGGGGAGCTTACGCCCCGACGTCCGCGCAACCGAATGCGCTGTCTCTCCGTCGCCCGCCCCGGGGCCCCCGAAACCCCCAAAGGTCTGCAGGGGACCCAGCAAGCCTCCAGATCCGGAGAGCCGACGAGGCAGGCGCTTCACTGCGCGAGCCCCAGCAGAGGTCTCGATGGTCTCGACCCCGTCCCGAGGGGCAGCGTTTCGCCCCGGATCGGTGTGTGACGCATCCCAGGCTTCATCGGACTTTCGAGACCAAGCATCTGGGGCCCAGCCCTGGGATATACGATGGAGAGGGTTTCCATCCTCGATATGGGGTGCGTCTGGATGGCCCCCTTGGGTTGCAACCCAAGGTTTCTCTACTTCCCAGCGCGGATTCATCTCATTCTTCGTCGACAAGTCGTGGGTCGAAGGAGGGAACTCCGCCGACCCTGTCGGCGTGTGTGAGGGGCTCGTCCGTTCGAGTCGTCCTCTCCGCCATTCGTTGGTCGTCGTCTCTGCTGGCTCCTCTCCCTGTGGCCCTCCTTGCCCTGGCCCCGGCGCCGCTCGCCCCCCTGTTTCCCGGGCCCTCTTCCGGGAGGAGGAGGAGGAGGAGGAGGAGGTGGAGGAGGAGGAGGAGGAGGGACGCGCGCCAGCCCAAGCGAAATTGACTAACGTCGGGCGCCTTCCCTGTGATCCCTCCCCCGTCGAGAAAGGGGGGGGTCCCTGTGGGGGGGGTCCCGGGGGAGATGCGCCTCGTTCCCGGGGGAGATGCGCCTTGGTCCCGGGGGGGGGTCGCCAGATACGCATCCCTCCTGAAGGTCCCACGTCCCAAAGAAGCCGAGGGAGCCCTCTCCTTTTGATCCCTCCCCCATCGGGGGGGGGTCCCGGGGGAGGTACGCCTCGGTCCCGGGGGAGGTTCGCCACCCAGATGCGCAGCTCTCCCGGAGGTTCCTGGGTCCCACGAGAACCCCAGGACGGACCAAGAGTGCCCGAAAAGGCCCCCAAGACGGTCCACGAGGGCCCCGCATCGCCGAACGATCTGTCCAAGACTCCTTCACGGCGTCCTGAAGGCCCATGAGGCCTGCAAAACGCCCCAAGAGGCCTCCAGGAGCACTCCCAAGAAGGCCCCCAGAGGCAAAATTCATCAATGGCCCTTAGGTTTTTGACAAAAGTTGGCGTTCTCGCCGCTTCTGCTTCCCGACGCTCCAAGACGGCCCCAGAGGCCCCCAAGATCGCCCCAAGACGGCCCAAAGTCCTCCAAGAGGTTCCCAACATGGCCCACGAGTGGCCCCAAGACGGCCCGAGACGCCCTCCAAGACAGGCCAAGAGGCACCCAAGACGGCTCCCAGAGGGTGCCCAGACGGTCATCTCGAGCCCTCGCACCAGAAAAGCTCTCACGAGGCCCCAAGAGAGAGGCCTCCAAGACGCCCCCAGCAAGCACCCAGGACGCCCCTGGAGGCCCTCAAGAGGCTCTCAAGAGGCCCCCGAAGAGTCTCCCGAAACGCCCCCAAGCAGCGCACCAGAGGCCCACGAAAGCGCTTCGAATAGACCCCTACACGCATCCCTCCGCCCCCTGCTCCTGACCCTCCTCATCTTCTTCCTCGCCTCGTCTTCCACGTCCTCCACCTGCTCATTGCCCTTCTCGACCTCCTTCTGCCCCACCTCCCCCTCCTCATACTCCTCCGCATGCTCTTCCTCATCCTCCCCCTCCGGCTCCACGGCGTCCTCCTCCTCCTCCTCCTCCTCCTCCTCCTCCTCCTCCTCCTCCTCCTCCCCCTCCTACTGTTCCTCCTGCTCTTCCTCTTGTTCCTCACCCTGTCCCTCCTCCTCATCATACTCCTCCTTCGCATCCTCCTCCTCATCATGCTCATCCTCCTGATCATCCTCCTCCTCATGCTCCTCCCCCCTCCTTCGTGTGCCCTTCTTCTGTCCCTCCGTAACCTTACCTCGACCTCGTCCTTCCCATTCTCCTCCTCCTCTTCCTGCCCCTCCTCCGCGTCCTCCTTCTTCTCCTGCTCCTCCGACTCCAATTCTCCTCGTCCTCCTACTGCTCCTTCCTCCCCCGTACTCCCCCTGCCCCTGCTCCACCTCCGCATTCTCCTCCTCCTCCTTCTCCTGCTGCTCCACCGCATCCCCCGCCTCCTCCTCCTGCTCCTCCTCCCCCCATCCTCCTCATCATCCTCGTCGTCGTCTTCAGATTCGGCGGCACTGGCCGTAAGGCCTTCACAGTCGCCTGCGATTGTATTTAAAACCATTCAACCATTCAGCCGGAGGCTTGAGGGGGACACACATACGAGCAGTAGTTAATACAATTGAATCCTGCAGCCAGATGTCCAGAGGCCTCCTCGATGGGGTCCGAGTAGCCGGGACCGAAAGATCGCGCCGCATCGCCAATGCGTCGCCGATGTATCCGCGATGCGTCGGCGATACATCGGCGACGTCGGAGATGCATCGGCGACGTCCGCGTCTGGAAACACGGGCTCAACATCGAGCCGCATCGTCGATACATCGGCGATGCGGCGCGATCCTTCGGCCCCATCCGCTCCGACCCCATCCGGGAGGCCTCGCATGTCTAGGGGTATGCACAGATTCGAACAACAAAAGAACGACCTCGGAATCTGGAGCACATACCTTACCAGTGGCGGGCTGCTTTGCAATCCCAAGACAGTTTGAGGGTCGGCGACGACGTCGGGGTGGTGTGGTGTATACTTGTTTCCCCGTTTTCCCGTGGCAAGAACGAACATGTATATACCAAAACCCCGTATACACCAGGATCCGCTTTCCTGTGCGAATTTCGGTGCGGGGCCAGACACTGCGTCGGTGTATAGAGTTCGGCTCCTTACCATCACCCCCAGGGCGCGTCCTCGAAAACTGCGGCACCCGTGCCGAGACGGCCGCCGCGAGGGCCGGCGGGAGCGGACCCCGAGGCCGATCCGAGTTTTTTTTTGGGGGGGGGGGCCCCCCCCACCTGTAGGTCGGGCATGTCCCCCTACAGGCGAATTTCGGTGGAAAGATTACAGAGTAGCCCAAACAGAATCGAGCATTCTCAAAAGTAATAGAAAACCCGTCCCCAGACTATTTTTTGGGGGGGGGGGCGTGCCCCCCCCCCACATGTAGGTCGGGCATGTCCCCCTGCAGGCGGTTTTCGGAGGAAAGATTACAAAGTGGCCCAAACATAATCGAACAAGTATCAAAAATAATGGAAAAAAACTCGCCCCCGGACTATTTGGGGGGGCGCTTTTTGGAGTCTTCCTCCTGTGCAGGGACGTGCCCGAGGTGAGCCACGGCGGCCACCGCGAGGGCCGTCGGGAGGAGCTTCCCCTCGGCGCAGCGGCGCACCAGGCGCGCGCACGGCGCGGCGGCCGGAGGCAGGGGACACAGACGGACTTCATTGGGCCCTCGGGCCGCACGGCCCCCCCCCCCACGGGGGGCTCCGCCGGGCAGCATCCGCACCGGCAGAGCGGGGCACCACGTGCGGGCCGAGCGAGCCGCGCGCTGCCCGAGCAGACTGCGCGGGACTGCACGCTGGCCACCGCGGGAAGCCCCCGGGCCGCTCGCTGCCGACCGGTGCGTTGGGGTCTGCCCTGTGCACTGCTCCTACGGGCGGCCTTGAGCGGAGAGGACGCGCGAGAGGACACGAGGCCCTTCCGAGGGCCACGTTGCAGTAGGAATGTATGGGAGGCACGGGTCGCGAGACACGGGACACGAGGGTACCCTTGATCTGGCAGGGTCGACCTCCTGATCCGGGCCGCCTGTACCTCTGTGCACTGTGCAAGTGAAGCTTCTCATGACCTGTAGCTGCTTCAGCGCGGCAGCCCTTCTTCTGCGCTGCCATGGCGCCAAGGACGAAAATCGCACACTTGCGATGGAAAGCAATGGCCCTGAGCAAGGGCCCCCGAACCATCTCCATGCGTGGCACTGGCCTCCCTTGAATCAGGATGCACGTCGCTTCTATTCATAGAGCTCACATCGTTCATTCAGCCCCAATTGCAGATAGAAACAGTTATGGCGTCCGGTGTTGTATGGCGTCTTTTAGCTAGCAAGAACGAGCGTAGTGATCGCCACAGTGGTCAAAGGGTGGCAACAGGGAAGAGACCATGCTGGCAATGCGGTGCCAATATCGTGGAGTATGCCATGATAGTGGACAGGACAATCGCCTCTGCACGGCGGGTGGCGCGAAGGTATTTGCGAAGCCCGCTAGAAATCCGGCGAGGAATCTTGCAGACACCCTTCGGTTCGTCGGGTGATCTCGAACGAAAATCACGGCTCTGACGCGGGCTTGGAGAGAAACGCAGTGATCCCTCCAACAAGAGACAACCAAGGGTTCCCATTCGAACCTGGAGACCGTTTTTTAACTGTGCGACTTCACTGGGCATCTGCAGACGCAGGCGCGGTCAGCTCGGCTTCTGCATCGTCTGCGTTCGGAAGGTGATTCGACCGATCGGCTTCTTTCGCCTAACGCTCCATGACATACAAAAATCCAGTGAACGCATGGAAGATGCTCAACGCCACGCTCAGAATCCTCGTCGTCGCAATCCCTGGGGTCAGTCGGTGTGCGTGTGGCCAGACATGGCTCCTCCAATGTTTGTCGACTGTTCTTGTTGGCATACCGCCTTTGCTCTTTCTCTGTCGGTACTCCTTACTTCCCAGCGGCCATACCTCAATGGACACACTGCACACCCACCTGAAGCAAGTACAACGTGGACATTTCAAGCAGATGTTTGGGCGAAGTATGTAGAATCATCCTGCTGGTGGTGGGCATAGGGGCACGATGACGCACACTGCGGTCTCTACTAACCATTATCTACGTTCTACCCTGGATACTCCCACTTCCACGTGTGATGTCAATCCTCCGCCGTCTCACCTTTGCTCTCCACTTTCCACTCACTTCTCCCAACTGCGGGCTCCTGACTGTGTACCCTCTACTCTACACTCTATACTCACCAGTCTCTGCTATCTGTGTGCTGTATTCTCTATCGTATACATTTCTCCTGTCTGTACTACCCTAGTAACTACCAAAGAACCCAGGATACCACAACCGCGGACCAAATATTATGTGGCAGCCTGCCAAGGTGGGTCGAAGACGCTCTGCAAATCCTTACACGAGCCGCGAGAACCGCGTCAGTGCAAAGACTGACCTGGAACTCGCTAGTTCACCGACCTCCGACGTCGTGTTTTGTTCAGTGCGCTGGTCCCCGGACGACTCGGCAATTTCCGGTGGGCCGGCCTTTCATCCTGAGTCGCTCGTTGACGGTCTGCGGGCGCGGGGTGAGGGCCCCCCGAGACCGAACATTGGCAAGACAAAACAGACGCTCCCGCCGCAGTCTCTTGCACGACGCGCAGGGGTCTGGCCATCTGACGCTTGTGAGCCGACGCTCCTGACGGGGCTCGTGGCGCCAAATCCTGGGGAGAGGGCCGCAATGCCTCGGCCCGCGAGACCGAGACCTGTTTCTGGAGGCGAAGTGCCTCCTTCAGACCGAGCCAGTGTGCATCAGACCTCGGCTGTTTCCTCCTGCATCTTCCTTTCCGCCTCATGTAACCTTCCCCACCTTCCTCATTATCCCCAACTCCCCCCCCACTCCCACATCCTCTCCCTCCGTCCCCTGCTCCCCACAACCGTCTCCCCTTCCTTTCGCGCAGTTCCCTCATCCTCCCTCCTCGTTCAATAGGTTCATGCCTTTTCTCAGTTCTTCCCCTCCCTTCCACTCTCCTTTCACATCCCCCTCCTGTCCTCCTCACTTCTACACGTCCTCGTCCTCCATCTCCCGCTCCCTCCTCCTCCTCCTCCTCCTCCTCCTCCTCCTCCTCCTCCTCCTCCTCCTCCTCCTCATCCTTCGCTTCCACCCTTTAAGCCTATAGCGCGCTTGGTAATCCTCCTCCTCCTCACCCTTTTTCTCCTCCTCCTCCGCCTCATCTTCCTCCTCCTCCTCCTCCTACTCGTCCTCCTCATCCTCTTCTGGATGCTCATCTTCCTCCCTCCATCCCCTAGAACCCGTCCTCGTCCTCGCCGTCTCCTCCTCCTCCTCCTCCTCCTCCTCCTCCTTCTCCTCCTCCTCCTCCTCTTCTCCTTCCTCCTCCTTTCTCCTCCCCCTCTTCTCCTCCTCCTCCCATCCTCACCCTCCTCCTCCTCCTCCTCCTCCTCCTCCTCCTCCTCCTCCTCCTCCTCCTCCTCCTCCTCCAGCCCCGCTTCGTCGTCCTCCGCCTCGACCCATCCTGGAGGCGGCGCCCGCCGTCGCCGTTGCCGTCGCCGCCGCCGTCGCCGTCGCCGTCGCGGCCGCCGCAGCCGCCGCCGCCGTCGCTTCCGCCGCTGCCGTCCTCGTGGCACTCACACCTGTTGGCCGAGAGGGCCTCGGAGGGCGGGTGGAGGGGCCTGCGCCCCGGCAGATGGCTCTGGGCCGGCACGCGCAAGCTGAGGTGTACGCCCACCTGGGTCTCCGTGGGTGGGTCTCCTCCTCCTCCTGCCCTCCTCCTCCTCCTCCTCCTCCTCCTCCTCTTCCTCCTCTTCCTCCTCCTCCTGACTACACTGCAATTACTTCCTCCTCCTCCTCACTCCTCCTCCTGCTCCCCTCCGCCTCCTCCGCCTCCTCCCCTCCCCTCCGGCGACGGCGGGTTGGGTGGCACCTCCTCAGACGCCTCCTCCTCCTCCTCCTCCTCCCTCCTCCTCCTTGCTTATATTTCTCCTCTTCTTCTTCCTCCTCCTCGTCCTCTCTCCCCTCCTTCTCCTCCTCCTCGTCCGCCTCCTCCTCCTCTCCCCTTTTCCTCCTCCTCCTCCTCCTCCTCCTCGTCCTCCTCCCGACTCCTGACAAAATTAGTTAATTCGGTGCACCTCCTCCTCCTCCTCCTCTTCCTCCTCCCCTTCGTCCATCTCCTCTTCTTCTTCTTCCTCCTCCTCCGCCTCCTCCTCCCTCCTGTCCTCCTCACGTCTGCACGTCCTCGTCCTCAATCTCGCGCTCCCTCCTCCTCCTC